ACTTCTCGTTCGAATCCAACCCCCTTTGTGTCCTCATCCAACCTAACCCCAGCACTTAACTTTCCTACAACAGTGCAACCAGTGAGTCTGCTTGTTCTCAGATTGCTCCATATTTTTGAGACTAAACTTACCATGTTCTCCCAATTCGAATTATGGCATCTCAACCTCCACCTTATCTCGTTGTGACTCCGGCCATTTACGCAACCGCCCAAGGTCACTCGTGGCCAGCAGTGGTTTTCCAGTTTTAGTTCATTTCTACCGACTGAGTCTTTGAATCAGTCGGACCTCATGCCCATTGTTCCCTACAAGTTGCGAAAGAAACCTGTCATCATTATTTCATCGAATACTCCTCACTGTTCATTAAGTTGTCCCCATTTCGCGGAATCTCCACTACCCGCAAATCCCCCAGTCACATGCCCCATTCTGACTGTAAACGCATGAACATGCCAGAAGTTATGCCACCCACAACTTGGGAAATAAACATTATCATTATAAGGGAGACAATGCTAAAGTCGTCACAAACTCCTATCTGCACTGGAAGGGAGCCAACCTTCCTGTAGGTGATTCGGCGCACCTTCTCCCGCATTAATCGGGATCGGAGCTCAAGTCAAACCGGTTCCTGAGTATGCCCACCAAGTTCTCTACTGAGGACGCACGAGAGACTCAGCCCCAACTAAGCTTCTCTAATGAGCTGCTACAAACATGTTAGCCTGACTTGAATTCGCGGACTGTGAAACGCGTCTCGCGGTGTTTGACCTATTTCTCCTGAAGTGTCGTCGCCCCCTGAGAAGACCCACTCCTTACTTATGCCCTGTCTGAACAAAGCTTTGCCAGCATGTATTTCACCGTTGACCCAAAAAACATACGGTGAGGAAATTCCAAGTAGATTTTCAAGCTCAGGGGGCATACTTTCATTCATCCCATTTAGGGCAGTTTCTCAATGGAATAACATTCCTCCGTCAGTGGTCCGCGCTCCATCTAGAACCCAGTTCGAAAGACCACTAGACATGTATTTATGATAAGCTTGCCTTGTTTAGTTATCCTAGGTATATTGCACTGCTGTGCCGGTTGACTGCAGAAGTAAAATCTCCGCCCAGGATACCTCCACTGCCTGGTGACGTTATCAAACAGTGGGGCATAAAAAGGTGCAAGCCAAATTTGTCCGTGAATAAAATGGTGACAGTCATATGTCTGTCGGAGATTCAGCACGCAGAGTAGTGATGAGATGCAAAGCCTGTGACGAATTACAAGGCACATCCATCAGCCAACCAGCGGAATCTGGTTCAATCGTCCCAGTGTTTAATAGTGGGTAGTCGGAATTCGACGCAACCCAAGGTCATTTAGGCAAACAGCTTGAATTGTTTTAGTCAGACAAGCAATTTGGCCGTCGCAGTTAATTACCAGTCACTTGAAGAGGGCTATGAAACCACAAGAGCTAGTCATAGCTGTAATTGCTAAGGTAATAAAACGACGAACGCAGTATTTAAGACGGTATCTAGGATTGATTGCACACTAAAGACACAGACCGCCTAAGAGGCGGGAGCTTTGAGAAGAAAAGCAAATTGCGCTTTGTCAGATGTCGTGTCAAGTTGTCAGAGGATAACCTCTGGTACACGTTTCCGCCGAATGTGTTGGGTCCGCTGACAATCGCACCACATTTTTCATCTAATCCATCCGACCACAGGCATGTTCGGAACTGGCTACCTCAGAAGCAGAATTATGGTGAGGTCCTGCCAGTGACTAGTGTGAGTCAGAAATCATAAGACCATCAGCCTACAATGTTTCGGTCCATTGTGCAAAAGGTGGCTTTGGTGAGCATCAAAATTCTGACGTTTAAATTCCAAATGTACCTCAAAGACTAGATCACTCATCATTAATTAGAAGTCTCTCTGTATGGAACAAGTCGGCAGGAGCTTTGGACGGTTCCGATTGTTATGGTGACGCGGAAACCCCGATGACCCTGCTGAAAGGAATCTCGGAGCAATGAAAAACAGAAGATCACGCAAATGTTTTGGGCGCACGGAACAAAGCTGCCTGACAGTATAATCCCAGGAACCTGATATGAATTCGTCGCCGATAAACTGGTGAAATTCCATCAGTTGTCTTCGGCCCAACTACTCAGTAAATTCAGAAAAAAGGTTTCCACTGTCGGTCGCATCAGACGATTGCCTTCAGATGTGAATGTTTTACTGGAAGCGGGCTGACAAGCCGCCGAGAAATGGCACGTCTTAAGCTTGAGGAACGAAGTGTTCTAGGTGCTAAGAGTAAAAATATCCAACAAATAGAGACGTCCCATGACCAGAAAATCGCTTAATAAGGAAGACGATGTGATATTCTGCGTAAATGGAATGAAGCATTTCGCTGATGTGGCAACGTCGCAAACAGAGATCTGAATTTATTGATTAAACTCCTAAATTGCAACCGCATCGACCATTCACATCATTCCTGAACTCATCTGCGTGGCTACCCAAATCGATCAGTCGGGAGCATCCCTGCATATTCTGAATTGATTGTGGGCGATACCTAAGGAAGTGCTTCCATTGATGAAGGAAAACTCGTTCAAGGTGAGATATGAGTCTTTTGTTTCTTTTGATGCACGGCTGAATCAAAGAATAGGGTCTTTTAACATTTGTAATTCAACCCCCATGATTAGCCGTGAAAACGTCCAGCGCTCTTCCAAGTCTCTGACCATTCAGACAAATGAGCTTCGTGTTTAATTTAGATTCAAACTCTTTCCGAGAAAGCAATTCAAATCTCGTAAGTACCGCGGTCATCGCAGCCCAAGCAGTAAAAAATCCGGTGGATCTCCGGAGTGCATTATGCATTCAGTATGAGATTTGGTGGCCACTTCACTAGACTGTGAAGGGGAGTGGGTCAACCCGATTGTGGTCGAATTGCAGAGGTTAAAGTCTATCCCTAAATATCTAGATTCCAGGCCGATAAATGCATCCTAAGAAGTAAATATTGGCAACTTCCTACGTCATGTGGCTTCCTGCACGAAGTGAATGTAGCGCAGTCATTGAAAAGTGTAAAACAATCATCAATAGTACTTTTGGATGGTTTAGCTGGCTTTGCTAGGCGTTTCCGTCTGGTGAGGCCGTTCATAAACCAAGAAAGGCCTTCCATACAACTTCATTGCAGGTGTTCCGCCAGCTGTCAAGCGTGTTTCGAAACTGAGCCTTTCATGCAAACCAAATCTAGAAAGTACATGGCAAAACTTCTGAACGATTCTCTGAAGGTGTAAGCTTAATGCGAGAAGTAGAGAAACGTGTGGCCTCCGCTTCTTCTGGTGGATATTTGCTGACTGTCGACGGTCTAAAAGCAAACCCAAAAAGTCAGGGTCATTCAGTATATTTAATCTTCAGGTCACGGATTTTTTTCGGGTGCATTCAAAACCGGTAATCATTTCAGCCGTTTTCTACGAGGCCTGGCAGATTCCGTAAACCGGCTCTGCTTCAAATCAACCGGCTTTACAACTGAAACCCATATATTCCTCCCCAGTCATTGTTCCAAGTTTTTGTTTTCTGCTATTTGCTGCTACGTACCTGCTCTTAAGCACGACCCCTTGATTTAGCCTCCCAAACAGGCTGGGAAATAAACCCATCACCAATGGTGTTTGCAAACAGATATGTAAACGATGTCGTAGCCAGTAAAAAGTTACATTTTTGAAAACTGGGGCCGCAGTATCTCTAGGTCCTTCACTTGTATACCACGATTTAGAGTTACCCCTTAACGTACACAGTGGCAGTAGCTTTAAGTTGGTCCTCATGCAGCGAGACAAGCGGGCGAACTGTAGGAGTCATGGCATGGCGCAAGCAGGATTAAACTACACACGTATTTAGAGTCGATGGTCATAGATATCAGTTTATGGGTTCACACTGATAATCTCGCAGCAGGACTCATTCGGAGCTCTACGATTAATTGTACAAGATAAAACTCAGTCAGCAGACCAAACTTCCGTGACATGCGTAAGAAATTTTTTGCGGACGACCCGCCCGCGCTTTGGCCGCATGAGCGGTGCACTTTCCACCAGGACGTGTCGAGAGACTAGCCACTCGAATAAAACCCGTGTACAAAGACCTCAGCTACACAAACAGCGCCTGAATCTGAAGATGAAGATCCTTGAATATGACTGGACAGGCATAAAAAATGTTTCACCGGCTTAGTGATATGATTGCATTTATTCCTCGGTCAACCTGTTTTATTCAAAGGCAACGAAGTAACCATAACCGAGGGCCAACTGCATGAACTAGAAAACTGTTCTACTAAATAAAAAACAGAGCCCTATACTACCCCTTGTACAGAATCATCAGAACAAAGTGTAGCGGAAGTTTCAGTAACGTCCACGCTAAAAGCGTTTATGCAACCATTATGTGGTCACCCGTTGAACCGTCACGATGCATAGGGTTATGAGTTAACCGAGGATGATTCGTACACTCGAAAGTTGAACACCCAGGGCCTCAACAATAACAGCAGTGCAGAAACGTCAGGGGACAGAACCGCTACTGGCAACTTTGCTTCATCGCGTAATCAACTCTGCAGTCCCTACGGAAGGATTAGAAATTATCATCTCATCACAACCCATAACAACTTAATCCTTCAGGGAGCACTACAAAGCCATGACAACGCAGCCGTTAAAGCGCATGAGTTACTTCACACGGAAATCATATCCGGTGCAGGTCTAACCTTCTCTGACCGGATCACCCAGATTCAATCGCCATCCCATTCAGAAAGCCACCTAGAAAATAACAATGTCTGATCTGGAAAATGCAGCAAAATTGCTCGAGTTTATCGGTTCTCTGGCATAGGACGGCATTTTGCTGGATCCTGCTTCCGTAAACAAAACCCCGAATCCCTGGACTTTCTACACTATTCCAAAAGTTACTGGTGGTACCTCAGATGTCGCTGATCACCCTCAAAATCCGGACAGACGCAGCATGATATTCCGGCTCCCGTGTTATTGCTGGAATAATTCCTACAAGCGTTCATTTAACCAGATGTGTCGGCGACTCATCCCAGAGCACCAAACCCTGAGAAGATCAACAGAAGCACAGAATCTCATACCTACAGCCAGTTATCTCTTGAAAACTTGACACTCTGGAGAACTTCAAATAAACTTATTGCAGCTCCAAAAAGCTTAAACAGCACTGCCCCTCTGAGCGAGTTTAGAACAATCGAAATGACATAACCAGTCCATCTTAGGGATCCTAAAATCTCTGAAGAGTTGGGAGTCTTCAGACCAGGGCTGTCAATTTTCGCAATCATAATGAAATCTGTTCTCGCAGTTGCCCCGTATGCGCAAAACTTCGACCTCAGTGAGACGTCATTCTGAGACCGTCAGTAGTGAGGAGCGGCAATCTCCCAAGGTTCGTTGACGCGTGCCTTGATTTGAACGGTCATCATAATATTGCGGTCGACTCAAATGCCGG